GTTGAATGGGGAGCTGGATTTGCAGGTGGGTGGGTACTATAATGGCGGGAAGTTGGGGCATTTTGCATAATGATTATTCTAAGGAGGGTTAGGTCCGCAGGTGGTGGGGTACTGAAGTTGCGAGAGGGCGGGCTGGATCGACTAATGACTACTTGTGGAGGGTAAGATCTGCAAGGGAGAGGGTACTGTAGTGGCGGGAATGTGGGGAAGTTGGATGAGAGTTTTCAGACGGTCTGAAGAAGCGGTTCTCCATAGTTCATTTCTAATGTGACGCTGCGAATAACTTCATTTACGATCCCTACAGGTTCCGTTGAGAATATGACATCAAGTAACAGCAAAATATCTTTTTTGAAGTCAATTTTTTTTACTTTTCCATCATTTGAAGGAATTTTTCTCCGGAACCTGAGGATTTGGCAGCGAGGCACTCTAGTATCGTGAACTACTCTTTGTATTTTGCAGGTCTACTATGGTACACCTTATCAAAGATCACATAGTTCTCTCTTGGTATGGCTCCAAACTTCGCTTATCGTCACGCCCAAATTACAAAATTATGTTTTTCCCCCTGCCGCATATCTTTTTCCAGGTAAATTGTATAGTGTTAGATTCTCCGTAAAAAAATCTATCTAATGATTGTTTTTCCCCCAACGGAAATGGGAAAAACATTGTTTTNCCCCCAACGGAAATGGGAAAAACATTGTTTTATGATTTGGGCTTGACGAAGTTCGAAGTTTGGAGCCATACCGAGGGAGAAATTTTGATGATAGGGTGCACCATAAAGTCTTGCAGACGACAAAGAGATGTCTACGGCAGTGGAGTGCCTAAACGCCATCTCTTCAGGCTCCGCAGAAAATTCCCCCAAAAATTGGAAAATGCCAAAAAAATCTACTCCGTTATTTTGCCGTAAATTGATGTCATATTCTCAATGGAACCTGTAAGGAGTGTTGAGTGCAGGGACCGTAGATGCAATTATCCACAGGCTCCACATACAGCATAAATGAACGATGGAAACCGCTCATTCAGACTGCCCCTAAACCTCCATTCAAACTTCCCCGCTTTCAAGCCACCACAGTACCCCGTCCCCTGCAGATCTTATCGCCACTAAAGTAATCATTAATCGATCCAACCCCCTTCTCGCCACTTCAGTACCCCGCCACAAGCAGATCTAATCCCCATTCGAATAAATATCATTCGAAAGTCTCCAAATTCTAGCCACTACAGTACCCAGCCGCATGTGTATCCAAACACGCCTTGCAGGAAACCGCTCAGAGACAAGCCTACGGCAGAATGTGGTTGTGGAGGGAGGTTTTCGTCACGGATTGACCTATATATCACTTGATAGCATTTTCACGGGGAATGCAACGGTGTATAACTCAGTTACAAAAAGGCCAACGGAAAGGGAAGAAACATTGTTTTATGATTTGGGCTTGACGAAGTTCGAAGTTCGGGGCCATGCCAAGGGAGAAATTTTGATCTTCGATAAGGTGCACCGCAATAGCCTCGCAGAATGCAGAGAGTAGTCCACGATAGTAGAGTGCCTCGCAGCCGAGTGCTCAGGCTCCGGAGAAGAATTCCTCCAAACTTTGGAAGATGTCAAAAAAATCGAATCCGTTATTTTGCTGTAAGTTGGTGTCATATTCTCAATGGAACCTGTAAAGAGGAGTGTTGAGTGCAGAGGCCGTAGATGCACTTATCTACAGCCTCCAAACCACAAAAGGAACGATGGAGACTGATCAAAACCGATAATCATTTTCACATTGTACCGAGTAAAGTCGAGTATGTGGCGCAATCCAGATCAAATTCAAAACAGATCATCTTCAAGTACCAATTAGCCCCTACAAGCACTAAAGCGTGCACTCCATGCACATGCAATCACTTTTCGGGTGGAACTCAAGTGCAGGCGGAATCGAAAATGAAGCATTTTTAACAATTCGAAGGATCATCTTGTAGAGCTCGACGAGTTGAGTTCAACGGTAATTTTAACCCCTCGATTACTCCATTTTGAAGCGATTTGTAAAGAAAAGACGAAAAAGACGCGAATCCGCGGTATTCGCGTGAATTTCCGAGTTCTTACGACGAGTACTGTAGACTGGCTTGCGGAATACATTGCAAGTGTCCAAGAGCTCGGGTATCTGGGAAGTAAACTAGCCGTAGCGTGGATCGTGCTCGAGAAGTACCAGTGTGTCTCTCCATTTCAGCAACGCAGCTTCGAATTGAGGCTGCCTTGCTGAGATGGAGAGAAACACTGGTATTCACTGTGACTTGCGGTGCTTCAGAGCGTTTAAAAATTAACAAACAAGGGTAGGGTGACGCTTCTATACGCAGCGATGCTAACCTCTCTGCAAAATCATAAAACACAACTTCACTTCGAAGAAAATTAGGATGTCGAAGTGGGCCTGATATACGCGACTGGACCGAGTGAAAGACGAAGAAGTCGTGGCGGTAATGCAGATAGTCTCCGTTCAGCTGGAGTTTGAACAGCAGCCCTTACGATGTTGAGGGCTCGTACTCAGAGGATCAAAGGATCACACGTTAAAAAAAGAAGTGAAAATCGAAAGCCCAGGAAAGCGGCCAGGAGTCCCAAAGCTGAAGTAAAGGTAATAGGTGACACGTGACTAAGAAGAATCTTGCCGAAGATAAGCTGATGACAGGAGATGCTGTGGATAGAATGGATTGGATGCGGCCAACAAGAACAGCGAACTATGACTCGCGTTTAATATTATTTGGAAGCAAGCACAAAATCGAGTTGAAATTGGATGTGTGTCGCAATTCAGAAAGATCGACCAAGAGGTGGTGTATTAGTTACACACTCATTACCTGAAATTGTGTTCAGCACTGTGCTGTTCCTCTTTGACCACTTATCGCAGCCTAACCGGCACACGCCGTTGACGCTGTGAGACTTTTAGCGTGCGGACGACGATTGCCGGAGTGAGAAATTCAACGGACACTCTATCTTTCCTTGCTTAGCTGTTTCCCTTATCCATTTTACCTTGAGAACACGGAGGACTTTTTTCTACTGTTCGCCTATTCGATCTTTCTTTCAGCAGCTCGTTCTGGAAAAGCACTGATAAAACTGATAGCCGCATTCTGTGCGTATGATGCAGGAAGTGAACTAGTGAATTATGAAAAGGGATTTATGAATTTCTCCTTCCACACCACCCGCCCTCATATCTGGCATACAAGTGGCCAGATATTGCAGCGTTTAGTGTAAAAATTATCGCATGGCAAACAGGATGCCTTTGAGGGACCAATTAAAATCAATTATCGTGGAAATATTTGACTACTTTATATAAATGCATCAGTATGCCGTCCCGAACAACTTTGCTCATTCATCTGTAGGGTCCCTCTGTAGGTACCCTCACTTTCATGTCATTTTGAAATGTTTTACCAGCCTTCTGGAATGAGAAAGGAAGCGTGGAAAGTGTCTCACAGCTTACCTTTTCACTTCATCATACATCTAGGTACTCAGGGTATGTTCTTTTTCGTTTTCTGATGACTCCAATTGAAATTGGGCAGTTCTGATATCAATGAGTTTGGGTTTCGTGCCATCCTTACTTGAAGGAAACGGCGATTCTTATCAGGTTCTAGTCTCCATTTACTAGGTTTCGTGAGACGCTTTTCTATCATCGTACCATATCTCGATCTTTCAAAACAAAATGGAAAAGCGGACTTTCACTGAACATCCCGCGATGATGTAAGGATTCGAGGTGATTGCCCACGGAATGGCATTTTTTAGATTTTTCCGTCTTCTCTCCTCTTTTTCCTATCTTAGAAAATCTCGAATCTTGAAACACTGAATTGAAAAACGCCTGCTGGCATCATGAAGACACGAGACGATGAAAAAAGCTCCCACCGTCTTTTCCATGGCAGTACTGGTACCAAAACATATGATCTTTGTCGCAAAATCCGAAAGCAGGACGAGTGAAGGAGTTCGAAGTCGACAAGAAATCCGTTACGGTTTTCTTAGACCAAATTGTTGTTCGGTATCCTCAGTTCCAAAACGGGCGGTACCTACATTGACAACAGAGTAAGCCGAGTCAGTATTTTGAAACAGTAGGGTCTATAGCTCGCAAAGAATTTACCGTTATGAGATACAACGGAGTTTTCACCTGACACGAATGAGAAAGGGAGCAAAGGTGGAATGAAGTTGCTCTGACACTGTCTATGATTACGCATCGTGTCTCCGACCACTGATATAGAAAATCCAGAACCGAGCAAGGATATGTATGTAGCTTGATGTGATCCATTTTAGATTTCATTGGCAGAGTACGTGTAAATATGAGCATTTACAGAACCTCTGATTTCCACTGAAAAATTTCGAGATCGGAAAGTCAGTTAAAAGTTCGTTCCACGTTTAAAAGTACAGACATTACTTTCTGAACCTGTGACCCCCAAGGATAGCCTGATACAGTTGCTTCGCTCTTTCCTTGTTGCCTTCAAAGTTGGATTAGACATGTGTACTTATGACTATGGATGGGATACAACTTTCCTCATAGCTTCAATTCTGTTCTTATTCCCTTCTTTTCTCTAGAAACCGCAGAAATTCAATTTTCTGCCCAAATTACACAGTTATTACATGAGCTATTTCCACAACCCCACGGGAAACGGTTTATTTTGGGTGGTTTTGCTGAAAATCTCAAAAGGATCTGCCGTTATGAGGCTTATTCAGAAGTATAGTGCAATGCTCGTTTGCGGGCTCATAACAAAATCATTTCTATGTGGAGCCTCTCACATGAACTTTCATTGTGACTAAGGCATGTCTGGATAAATTGAGCCCAAAAATCCGGCTATGCACACTACTTCTTTTAAAGGCGGGTAGGGAATCAATAAGCGATCTCACAAGTTTTTTGTTCCCAAAAGCAAACTCATTTCATCACTAGGAGGTCCAGGTAATGGGTTAGCTATAATGATGCTGAACATTGGTTCTGCCTAACCTAGTCAATGTGTCATGACTAGTCGTCAGTCTCCTTCACATATCACCTCGAAGTCAATCTATTGAAAGTATGATGATGGTTTCTTTTATCAACATTGCAGTCATCCAGATGACATCGCTCCTGCTTGTGCTTTTGTCGTTATGCCTAGCCATAGACGCAATTTGGCGGTGAGTACTGAATTCTACCCAAGCCGGTGGAAATTTATGAAAATGTTCCAGTGTGCCCATATCCAAAACAGTTCTTGATCGAAGTTCTTTCAAAAAGGATGCCATAGCTGAATTTCTGAGACAGAAATATATCAAAAACTACACGTTCGGCTATGACTATCAAGAGGGACTCTCCAATTACTTTAATGTGGGCAACCGACATAAGTGGTCATCCAATAGCAATTGAACTCGATCAGTTCCAGGGCGAGTACTACGGTACTATCCAGATTGGAACTCCTCCTCAAACATTCAAAGTGGTATTTGACACCGGCTCGTCGAACTTATGGGTTCCCTGTGCAAATTGTCCGTCCTCCGACCTAGCCTGCTTATCTCATCAGAAGGTAGATACCCAAGAATATGTGGTGATATCATTGTTAATAATCGACATATCGTTTTTAGTTCAATTGTTCACAATCGTCAACTTGCACCCAAACGTACCAGTCTTTTCCTCTTTATTACGGGACGGGCTCAACGCAGGGTTACGTTGATAACGATGTCGTCTGCGTAAGTTGGAATCTCCCAGAGGAAGTTGCGTATCCAGAAATTTCTGTCTTCTTCAGTTTGGAACGAATCATCAGTACTGTACCAACAGCCAACAAGGATTTCTTTGTGCAATGCAAGAGCCCGGAGACACATTCCTTGTGAGTTGAAGTGATACCTCTTGTGCCGAGGTAAGACAAGGAGAGGTACAAGCTCCCTGATTTCAGTACACACCATTCGACGGCATTCTCGGAATGGCATGGGATTCGATTGCAGAAGGAGGCGTTGCTCAACCTATGACACAGATCTTTGCTAATCAGGTAATTTCTGTAGAGCGTAGAGTATTAATACAACAAGTTGGTTATGATGACGTGCATAATTGCGACGGCACCCATGGAAAATACATACAGCGCGAAGCGCAGAACATGTAGAATGTGAGAGGGTAGCCATAGATGTTTTCTTAATCATTACAATGCGACCATGTAATGAACCGAAGCCGATGGCCCACTCTGTAGAAAATTAGTCTCATTGCCAATGCCGCTAGATAAGCATGAAGAAAGTATACATCAGCATGGAATAGGACCAATCTGAAATTAACCACGTGTGTGGTGGGTGGGGTGTCATCGAAATCAACACTGAAATTCACCTAGAACAACCAAACCCTCAATTATTCCGGGGTCAGGTAATTGCTACCAGCCTTTTCGAGAGGGTAAAGATACAGGCATACTGGCAGGACCCATAGCGATTTCTGTCAAAACTTCACCCAGATGACTGTTACGCACAGTTCGTTGCTCTACCACCTTCTTTTCCTGTTTGCCAACCGTATGATACCGTCAAATCATTTAGATCTTGAAGTTAAATTATTATTATGTAGCAGTATGAAGTAGTAGTAAGCGGCGCGGCAGCTAAACATGCCGACACGCTTTCCAGCCCTCGAGATTGATCAGTCAATGCCAAATTGTCTGGAAGATAAAAGTACTAACTGTAGCATGGGTTGACCTTCCCAACTACTGCTTGAGTGCCATGCGCCACTATAGCAGATGTCTATAGAAGCCACAACAATTCTGAAAAAGAGTTCACTGAGTGGGCACCCTGATAATGTTTGGTCAACACCAAAAGATACGAGACTTCATTGCAGACAATTTGCCCAGAAGCCGTCTTTGCTTTCTGGCTGAATCGTGACCTCTTCAATAATGCCATCGGTGGAGAGCTGACTCTGTGTGGAATTGACCCGACCCATTATCAGGTACTGTCGTAAGGCTTCTGGCAGTTGAAATTGACGATATTTTCAAGGGCAAAATTGCATGGGAGCCGCTAATCTCGGAGACCTACTGGCAAATCCAACTCGGAGGGTTAACCGTCAACGGGCAGCAAATCATCGATGGTCCCGTCGGAGCAATCGTTGACAGTGGCACCTCACTCATTTTAGGACCACCTTCGGTGGTCCAAGAGGTGAACTTCAACATCACTTAGATTTGCTTCATTTCTCCCTTGCTCACCTTCCGTTTTTAGATCCAACAAGCCATTGGAGCAGACGAATACGGATCGATCGACTGCAGCACTATTCCCAGTCTTCCACCAATCACCTTCACCATCGGTGGCGCAGAGCTGACCTTGACGGCAAATCAATACTTGATCCAGGTATCAAGCTCGAAACGTTTATACTTGACAAGTTCGTAGTCGGGAACAGCTGCGTGTTCCTTTCGAGCTGATGAACAGAGAATTTCACGCGAAACAAACTTGAAGCAGGAGAGACAGTGGCTACCATTAAAAGAAGTAAAACTAACCCTCAAAAATTGTAAGATGCGTCATGTAACGAAATGAGCAAATGACGGTTTCTTCCATAAATCTTTTACATTTGCTTATGACGCTTATTTTAGTATACCGACGGAACGTGCACATCCGGCTTCCAGGGGGACCAAAGTCCAGCTCCCGGTAAGCGTTGACGGTTCAGCTGGTGCTTCTCGGTGAGCCTGTATTGCGTAATTTTAGGTGTCTCATGGGTCCTCGGTGACGTCTTCATAGGGGCCTTCTACTCGATATTTGACCATGCAAACAAGCGAGTTGGATTTGCTGTATCAAAGCATGTCTAACGAATGTTGTACAGTTTCGAATTCAATAAAAAGGTTCTACCAAATTTAAGCGTATTTTCAAATAGACGAGCAATTACTAATCAGAAAAGACCAAAAGAGCTAGTCAGAAAGGCCAAAAGAGCAAGAGGACCCCTGGATCAGCTCCTTCAATGGACCGCGATCGACGACGGTTCGACGCCATCCATCCCAGCTTATTCGAACGATCTGCTCGAGCACCGCCAACTGCCTTCGGCAAGCCGCTCCATCCATGTTTGGTTGTAATATAACCAGCTATTTTTTTTTACATTAGTCAGTATCATTAACACAGTGGGATAAAGATATAGCTGATCAGGTATTGTCGAAGAAGTGGATAGGATTAATAGGGCAGGTGACATTCCTCCAAACTAGAGTGAATTCACCGTTTCTAATCGATCACTGAAAAATTCTTTGGCAAACTCGCTCTTGATGTTCTTTGCAACAACCTGATTTTCCTCCCCCATTCATCTCCAAAAAATCATCTTGAGTGCTCATCCCTTTTGATCCATTCTGGACTGGGTGTATTTCTGATGATGTTAGTAAAAAATGGAAAAATAACCTACGTGGGCGAAAATTTGAAAAGCTCAAATAAAGAACAATGTTCCATCTGCCTACCCTAGTCAGGGACAGGGATACTCGAAAGAAAAGTTTACAATCAAATGGCTGCCGTAATTAACCGCTATTGAAAGAGCCTTGCGAAGGAAAGTTTTCAAATCAATACTCATATTTTATTGCATACCTAGAGAAGAACATTCACAGAAGTGATCGTAACGGTTGAACAAGGAGCGTATTAGTTCTTTAAGGTGTGCCAGCAAGGAATGCCAAGGTTGCACGCAACTGTCTCGAATAGTTATCAACCATTTCAACATTTTCCTACAGCACCCTTAGAACCTTGGCTGACCTTTGCCAACGATTTCTTTGTTTTTCGCAGTGCAGTATGTCGGTGTAGAAAATTGGAACTTACCCCTCCACTGTTGTTGAAGCACCGAGCCGTAGTTAGTAGGAAGATGAACAGTTTCATCGACATCTGAAATTGGTGCGTTAACATGATGATCGGCACTGTGTTCGCTGCACTGACTCTTGCCGCACGACAGACGGGTTAGCAGCCGAATATTAGATGCTTGCCGTAAACTCCTGTTTTTCGAAGAAAAACATTCACACAAGGGTGTGAATTTAAGTAAGATGCGATATGAACCATTACAGAGAACGACTTTTCTAATATAGCTCTTCGTCATTATTTTTCTCACTTAGTTTCAAAGTGTAGTTGCTCATGGTTTGCTAAATGTGAGCAGATACTGCGTTCGCTTTCTGGAATAGTATGTGTGCTTTCCTGAGCATAATGAAAATGTGATGAGCCTGAAGAAATCG